TGATGATGCGCCGCCGCCTCTACTTTCTGATTCCTGTACGCGGAACTTTCACCATCGAACGAGTTCTGTGTCTTGTGCCTGCGTACAGACACCGAAGCATAAGGGTGATTATGTGGTCGCGAAGGGATTTGATCGCTCATGGTAGACTGAATGTGACAGTCTATGATGTGCATGCTATTCAAGGTGACTATGTTATGACTTAGATTTCCTGATCCTTGCACAACGCTACTAAGCTGTTGTCCTCATTCACTCTCGACAGGCTTCTGAGCAGTCTGTAACTGTTGTTGTCCACGGGTGAGACTAAGCACAACAGGGTAAGTTAGGATCCAGCGTTACTTCCATGACTTCCAGTCTCTGGCGAACGCTACCGGTGGAGAACCTAACGAGTCTTCTCAGCGTGGCCACCAAACGGCTTCCTCATATGATGTAGCATATGCATATACTACACATACAGATGATATGAAGACACAGTTCGCCACTTCCTGTCCACGCACTTGTAATCAGAATGCAATGCTTCCAAAACTCCTTCAGGGATTGATAACACAAGTAGAACCAGCTTATGGGAAGCTTAACTTATAGAAATTATCAAGTGAAGGGGGTAGAATAGCTAGGCTAGACGCCAGCTACTATTGTCTCCACTCTCACATAATTGTGTCGGCGGAGCGAAGTGGAAGGATGAGTATCATCACATGCTTTCCACTCACCCATCAGGTCTGCCTGGGGTTTCTTTCTTACGAGTGACACTGATGCTGTTCGCAGATCCTGAAGACGAGCCCGACTTGACACCATGTGATTTCCTATTGATATCGATAAGCTATGGTCCGCAAGTGACAGGCTCGTGTAAGTCATAGTCTGTTCTTTGTTGATTCCTCACTCATTGGTAATCCCTTGTCAACGTACCCTCGCGTGTTTGGTTCACCCTGCCTAGCATGAAGAATATGTATGAACTCGGTCCTGCTATGATACTGCGGTTTGGTTTCACTGCACCGAGCCTGCATCGGAAGGGCCCCTTCATTGCAGATGGTCTCTTTTTCCACAAACATGACATCGATCGCTCCGCTGGCACGCATAGGTTAAGCGCCCAACGCTTTGTACACGTGCCCCCTGAATTGTCGGTTTCTGATGTTGATAGTAGCTATATTATAGTTAGTATCACTATCATTTCCTAATGGTTAACTCCGTAGACAACGACGGCAGTCTTGAGTTAGCATTGGCAAGACTCGACCTTCAGCCAAGTGACACCGCAATACCCATACAGTTTCCACCTGTTCTCGATGATATATCCATTCAGTAATAAATGTTTTCATCCCCACACCAAGGCACTGCGATCTTATTCACAAGCTTTACACTCCCGTTACTCACATAGGAACACCAAACAGGCAATTCTCATTCTACACACAGTTGATATACACACACTCATGCCACTAGATCTCAGCGTCTACCAAATCATAATCATCTTCATCTTCATCATCATCCTCTGCCTCCTTATCCCCGTCGACTTCAATCTACCAGCAACAGTTCATCTCTGAGTCACCGTTAGTGGACTCACATGCGTCTCAGCAGCTGAGACAACAACTCTTCCATCCTCGTCAACTTGTGCTCCACTCGCACTACGAATAGTCGTTCCTGAGTAGTAAGTCAAGGCTCAAGACCATCGACGTATTCTTCCAATTTTCCTTTGATTCAGCGTCCCAATTAATAGACGAGTTTTATATACCACATCATTTGCAACTGAACTACGGAAGAAGGCGATTCCAAGATCACTCTCGGGAACCTGCTGTAGTGTATGAAATTCTCCCGTGAACTGGGGCGCGATGAACACTGTAAAGCATGTCCACATCCTTCGGGTAATACTAGCAACGTCTTCATCATCATTTTCTTCATCATCCATTGCTTCCAGCTCAGCCTCCAGCGCCGCAGCAGCTTTTTCCGCTCGCTTCTCCTCAGCGGCCTGCAAAGAACGAACAAGTCTAGAAGTAACGATGTCACACAACAATTCTACTTGTTTCGCACAACACGTTGTTTCGCATGTTGATTTTTCGTATATATTTCTCCCACACAACAAGACTACAGTACAGACCAAGTCCTTATGCAAATTAACACCTTCGGGATGACTGCCCTCATTTACGTCAATCGGATTACACTGATGTTACCAAAATTCGATCCTCCGACTCCAGAAATAAGAGCCATCTCAACACTGTATGAACAGTATTACTTTTGCTTGAGCCATGGCCTGTGGCGCAATCAGCGACATAACATCGGGGTTACGAGTAAGCAGCTCACAGTTCAAACCGTTGGAGGTCACATCCTGACAACACGCGAACCCTATTACCACTACTACTACTGCATAGACAAAACTTACATTATATTTCACTTTACCCGAGCTCAGCAGGACTTGTACAGTTTTCGCATGGCGTTTGAGTGGCCCAGCACACGCACGATGAAGTGGCTGGAGACCATCAGCGTGCTGATGCAGAGGATTCACACCCGAATCCAAGAGAGCCTCCATTACTTTATATCGACCTACCAAAAAACATATCCACATCGCTCTGAAAGGCCCATGGACAAATGCAACACACAGCCACCTCTGATACTCATGTATTGATCACAGATCAATAATAGATTCCTCAAAGACGTTATTTCTCACCTTGATAAGCCGCGGCATGAATTGGAGTGTACCCCTGACCATCGGCAATGTTAGGATCAGCACCATGCTGTAGTAAAAATCTCACCGCCCATGATTGTCCTAAGGCAACC